TCAGTCAGCACAGTTCTCTTCGATTGCTTCTTCTTGTCACTCACTGAACCTGTGGCCCGCCACTTTTTCAGAAGCCTGTTTACACACGACTTTGTGGGAACTGGCGAGTCAGGATATTTCTGACGAAACCTACGTGCGAATTTTCTGTAAATGTTTTTCCTTGCAATAGTTTCGACAATAAACACACGCTGTTTAATAGTGAACTTCATTTCCACCGTCTGTCGACAGCTGTAAACATTCCACTCCACTTCCACAGCAAGACAAAGACTGACTGTTTAATGCAACCATCGGCGTAGGAGCACTGCAGTCGCGGGGAGGAGTTGCATCCGGTCTGCGGTGGTATGACTCACGGCAAATTGCAGCCGCGGCGCGCACTTGATTGTACGCACTGTATTATACGACGGGCGGTGCGGTTCATGCATGTGGAGTTTGTTTATGATTTGTCAGCAGTCGGCAGTAATTACCAGCTCAGTGAGCCATATGTTCCCAGCCACCATTTAGTCAGCAGTGGGCACGACGGTTCACGATACTTTAGAGCAACGTGTATTTCTGTATGACACCTACGTGAAATACGGTTCTGCTGGAAAGTGTCGGCGAAAATTTCGACATACATTTCATGGCGAAAGAGTTCCCAGCAGACAAACAATTCATAATTTGGTGAATAAACTTAGAACATCGAGACTCTTAAGCGCTGATTGCTTACTGAGGAGACGTTAGATGACATAGGGGCCAGACCTGGACATATACCGAGAACACTGAAACATCTAGCTCAAGGGACTGGAGCGTCAAAGTCTAGTGCAAGAACGACAACACAATTGCTGAAGTCATCCAGTGAAAGTTGGTATCTGGTGTGCTGTAAGTGCAAGAAGGATTGTTGTACTTGTTTTTTAACGAAACAGTTAATTGCTAAAGATATTTGCGTGTAGAGGGACAGCGTTTTCAACGCCTCCTCTGATCTTTGAACGAAGGTAAGACTTCCCTTCATTCCAAATGTTTATCGGCATGTTGAGTCATAGGCAAAATTCGCGTGCGCTTCGCGGCCGGTAGCGGTGAAGCTCAGAGCCGTGAAGCGTCAGTTTTATTAAAAACACTCTCTATGTTAACAACATAAGCAACAACAGCAGTCTTTAACACCTGATGATGACCACATTGGTCGAAACATGTAATGACAAACTTTTAAATCGAACAACTTCTGATAAATTTTATAGAACATAGTGTTGCACGTGAGATTGTTAAAACTAATTGGCACTTAATTAAGTTTGAATCTAACAGGAAGTAATAGGGGCTTGAGAAAATTACATAAAAAGGAACTTAATTTTTATTATTCAACACATGGCGGATCTGGTTTAAGATGACAGGATGACACTAAATGATCTCCAAGAAACAGAGTTGTGGGCGTGTACCAGATTCATTTGGTTCAAGGCAGGAACCAGTGGTGAACCCTTGCGAACACGGCACGTATGGACCTTGAGGTGTTCCACGAAAGCCGGGAGAGACTGGACTTGCGGAGTAGCTATTTCTGAATGTCAATTATTCAGACTACAAATAGTTTTAAGTGTTGTTGGTTATCGGCTTCATCCCTACACTTGGACAACGTGATATCTGGGATGTAACATTTGCAACAGAAGACGTGCTAAAACTGTACTTACGTCAAGGTCAAATATGATTTCTCCTGTAACAGCAAAGTTGTTCGGCACGTGGCAGTGATGTAAAGGTTAAAATTATGTAATTGCTTGGTCGCCTGATTCTGCTGTTTGATATCAGTAAGTGTTTTGCTATAAACCGTACACGAATGTACCGGATGTAGCCGTGTATCATATGAATAGCCGGAAACTTGATAGTGTTTTATGCATGCATGCGTTCACAATTATATGTAACGTAGGGTGCGACCTACAGTGATGATACGAAAAATAGTTTTTAGTTCAATGACTTGGGCTTGTTTTTCTTGCACAAACATTTACTGAAGAAGCAAAATGTGTGGTCCAACTGGATTTATCTATCCACGAATAGAGACATAATAGGATACTGAGCCTTTGGGTTCCATAGAAAGTGGAGATTTTCATGACCAATTGACTGCCTGTTAGCCTACCAGGAAGGATTCTGCAGAACGGAGTTAGTTATTTGATTATTTGAATGCTATTTAAGTAATTACGTAATTCGGACAGAGTTTTGTTTACTTTCCGGTGGCACCAAACGTCGTAGAATGGTTAGCATCGTATCCCAGCGGTCTTATATCTACGGCACAGTCTGTTATAATTTTTAAACTGGAGGTACATCGGATGAACCTGCGGTGGTGGAGTACTCGCACCTAGATCGGGGCCGTCCTCCAGGAATTTTTTTTTATTTATTTGATTTTTATGTTCAAATCACGTCGGGGTCACCAATGTGGGAAGTCGTTATATGAAGAGACAACCACTTGTTGAACTGTTCTATAATTTTTATTATAGTTGCGCAGTATACACAGACGAACTTGAAGAATCGGCTGTTTACTCACCGTTGCTAAGCGACGATACTTGCGTTGTCACTAACGTTTGCTTGAATGTGGGCAGTTCACATGCAACAATAGAATTGTTGGGCGCAGTGTTTTATATGATGTTAATGTCGTATCACCCTCCTCTCGTCGAAGAAGTGGCCACATTTCAAAACACGTAAAAGTCGGGTGTTAGGAATTGAGACTTCTTTCCCCTTTACTTCCTTGACTTATGATCCATGACTACATAGCGTTTGCTCTACTAATTGTTGCGTGTTATTTGCCGGGCAGTAACGAAGTTACCCCGGACTAGATAAACTTCATTGAAGGTTCGTTGCCTGGGAACGTATTGTTGAATAAAGTGTGGGAACTGCCCACATTCAAGCAAACGGCACAATGACACCTTAGGGACCATTGTTTAGCAACGGCGAGTAAACAGTCTTTGCTTATATGAGGTCTACAACAGTATGTGACTATGGGAAGCACAGTGGATCATGTGCTAGCCAGTCGCAACCCAGAACCATTAGATGCCTAGCAAAGGCTGAATAAACAGCCGGTGACAGGTCTACATCCTACCGAGAATTGTTAACAGGAACGGACCGACTGTGAAACGACTTGTTCAACATTTTGTGTTTTAGTTACGTTGAGTAGTGACGTCGCAAGAATACGCCTCGAGCTCTTATTTCACGACAATGGGGAAGAACAAAAAGACAGACTGGTTGACTGACCGTTGGTCATAAAGTAACTTGACCTTGACTAGGCAGATACTGAACTTCTTGCTGTTATAGTTTTCGGTTTTAAATGTTTCCCTACTATGGAGGTAAGGAACACATTGTACATAACGATTTCACAGTTGGAAACAGAAGTACAGTCGCAGGCATATAGAATGTCTTGCATGGTGATGACAGTCTGGGCTTAAATGTAGTCATATTAATGTAGTTACACTATGCCAGAAGATTTTTATTTATCTCAGTTCAGCATGAGCTAAACAGACATAATTTTGAATTATAAAAAAATTAGTAGTTCCTTAGAAAGCCACTACTGAGAGGTACAGTTGTGTCTGTGCACTGTGCCATGAAGACATGTGGGAGCGAAGGTGTAGGTCCACTGTTCTTGACCTTGTCACTAGATGGAGGTGAATGGTCAGTTTTATGCTCCTTCCGCTTTACCCCCGGACCCATTTAGTAGGAGGCTGGGTGGACTGCAGAGCCGGTCTGGATGCTACGGAGTAGAGAAAAATCTCACTCAGGATAGCCAGCTTCGCCCACACCCCCCCCCCGACCCCCA